TTTTTAAATGTATTGTTATAAGCCGCCCGGAGTCCTTCGGGATTGGGCAGCCTATAAATTTATTAAACATCAACATCAACATAACCCCATCCCTAGTCCAATCTGCAAATGTGAGTTCCATCTTCAAAAAGCATCATCAGGTTGGCATGCAGGACAGTTAGCCTTGGCGGGCCCAATCACTATCTCCAGCATGCGCAGTAGATGGTGAGAACAAAACTCCCTTTTCACAATCTCTCCTGTACTTAAAACTTCCCTTCCCAAATACCATGCCTCCCCCTCTCCGTTTCAATGGCAGCCGAAAGCAAGTAGCGAAACAGAGGCTGACATTTACTCTTTCTTAGCCCTAGGAAGAAGACAATGGCAAACCACTTCTGAAAATGTTGCAGGGACTTGTCCAGGCAGTCACCAGGAGTCTACACTGACTCAAAGGCACCAACAACAAAGAAACAAAATTTTGGGTTAATCTCGGTAGCTTGTGAGCCAAAGCATTCATTCCACCAAACCAAGAGCTGTTAATAAAAAGGTACCTATACAACTGCTTTCTTCTTCTCTATCTCAAAGTCTCTCACCAGCTCTACTTCTCTTTATCCTATACTGAGGGACAGCTCTAGTGAGATGACATATAAACAATGACTACTTGGTGCTTTTGACTTCTGTTTTGCAAGCCTGGTTGATTTCAGGCCAAGCCAATAGTTAAGAGCAGAGGTGACATTCAGCAAGTTCTAACCAGTTCTGGAGAATCGGTAGCGGAAATTTTGAGTAATTCAGAGAACCGGTAAATACCACCTCTGACTGGCCCCACCCCCATCTATTCTCTGCCTCACAAGTTCCAGCTGATTGGGAGGAAATGGGGATTTTGCGGTATCCTTCCCCTGCCACACCTACCAAGCCATGCCCACAGAACCGGTAATAAAATTTCTTGAATCCCACCACTGGTTAAGAGGCAACTGAAAAAATGGCTCCAATTCCTCATCAGTAAAGATGGTTAGACTGCACAAGCGAAACAGAGAAACGTGGTTCTACTTTGCTAGTCCAGTTGGCTTGCTTGTAGCAAGGGGAAAATGGCAGACAAGTGAGTCTGGAAGGAAGGGAACAGCTTAATGGAGGTGTTTTTGTAGGCACCATAAGTGATTCTGTCGATTCTCACCTTTATGTACAGGACGATAGGCTTCCAGAAAGTATGGTTTGAGGTAAACTTCAAAGAGGTTCCCAGTCAACCCTTCAATAGTGTCATCGATGGGGAGTACATGAATCCTCTTTCCATACTTCACATCCGGGCAGGCCTGTACACTAGAAATAGAAAAACTCAAATGGCTTTATCTGAGGTCAGCATTGTGCTACACACACCCACTGCTTACACATAATCCCCCAATGTTCATCTTTGGAGGCTTCCACGATGGATGATACTGAAACAAGGATTGGAATAGAGCCAGAGCATCTCGGCATCTATTTTCTCTCCTGCATCCTTCTTTTCTCTCCTCTCCCTAACAGCCCCATTTCTCTATTCAGCAAGAAGCTGCAGATCAGAAAAAAGGAAACCTTATCCAAGATCTCAGCTGACTTCTCACTCAAGGCCTTTGAAGTAAACCCAAGGCATCCTTGCAGCTCTCTAGGACTATAGGCTACCCACCACTGCTTTACGGATATCCTGGATCTATAGGGCAGGTCACCATAGCACTTATTAGTTCTAGTGTCAAATTTAATATCTCAAAGTGCTGTTTGGACAACTTCTAAAATTATTTTATCTATCTATCTATATTATTTTATCTATATTTCTTTTCCTTCAAGAGCTACAGGTAGCACGGATGAACATGTCTCCTCATTCTGTCTTTCCATTCGATAATTTTATGAGATACATTAAACTAAAACTGTGACCTTGCTAAAGTAACTCCAAAACTCTGACTAAGAGACTTCAACCTGAGTCTCCCTAATCCTGGTCCATCATTCTTTTTTTTAAACAGTTTATTTATATATTTTCATATTACATACATAAGTGCTTAGTGAACAGCATATTGTCTGGATCAATTTATTTTTATAAAATAATACTCTTTCCATTCTTAATTTCTACTCTACTATCCAACTATTTATAAAACAAGTCCCATGTTCTAAAATACTCTGTATCTTTTTTTACTTTTAATGTCAATCTATCCATTTCTGCACAATCAATTACATCATCTTTTGTCGGTGTTTCTAACCACCTCACCACACCTACATAGAGAAATTATTGTTAAGGCTGTTTCCTTCTAAATTGTTGAAATCCCCCTATTTAGGCCTACATTTTGTTTTGATGCCTCCTCTTTCTGAGCCTAAATTAACTGGTATGTTTGCATTTTAGCTTTCTTTCGCCAACAGCTTTTCCTTTCCCACCCCTATTCTATTTTGGGATGCCCTCACCTGACCACATCTCCAAGGCGCACACGGAGGTTGTTACGGGTGACGCGGTTCATTCGAATCTTCTCATTCTGGCAAGAGTCATCAGTAAGAACGATACATACTGTCTCCCTGCGTTTCTTTCCCTTCATTAGCACCGTGTCTCCACGGAACAAGTGCAGTTCTTCCATTTTGGCCTGAGGAGAACCAAAACAGTTTGGTTTTGACCCTCCGCAACACCTGTGCTACAAAAAGAAGACTACAACATGCTCATTTTATGTAAGCGTTAGGCAAATCATTACTTGTGGACAAAATCAAACTGTGAGATTTGTTAGTTGAGAACACATAGTTGCCCTCACCCCAAATCCTACACACATAGGCTATATGTATGTAGCCAGCATGCACTAGAGATGAAAGTGTACCTGTTGCAGGATCTTTGTATACGTGACCAGTCAAAACCGCGCTCGACTAAACCACGCCCGATTAAACCGCGTCGCTGATGGCATCAACAGGGCAACAACAGCCAGCGCGGAGAAAGAAGGGCGCTTTAAATAGCGCTTTGAAAGCAAGCCGATTCAACTTAAGGTAAGGGTTAGGTTAAGGGTTAGGTTTAGGATTAGGTTTAGGNGAACCAGTTAGAAGAGGTTCCACCAGTGGACCCGGAAAGCAGGCCACACCTACAGAAGAGGTTCCAAAATTTTTTGAAACCCACCACTGATAACAGGGGTATCAAACTCGCGTTGCCACAGCGATGTCACATGACGCATCGCAAGCGTGATACATCCAACCCGTTAGGCCACAAGTTTGAGAGCCATGGCATATAAAATCATATCTCAGACAAGAGAAAGGCAGGGGTAGAAAGAGAAAAATGTGGAGCAGATTCTTACCAAATCGACGCAAAGCAGGATCAATACTGTTCGGTCGGTTAGTGGCAGCCATAACTATGACATGAGACCGTTGTTTCAGGCCATCCATGAGGGTCAGGAGTTGGGAAACAATCCGGCGTTCCACTTCCCCATGTGTCTAAAATGGGAGAGTGAAGAAGAACCATAGAATCATAGAAGAAAAGGAGGTGCTCAAATATCAGCAACAGTGCCATCCTAGAGAAACCAACAAACCTTTCTAGATTTCAGAGTGAGAGCACAGCACCTCCTAGTGGACAAACTGCATGAGAATATTACTGGAGGCAAGAAAGGAATAATGGCTTGAAAAGTATGAGGTGCATTATTTGCAGTATTGCCTTATTTGGATATTGGATTTAAACCAGGGGTGAAATTCTGCATGTTCTGACAGGTTCTGGAGAACTGGTAGTGAAAATTTTGAGTAGTTCGGCAAATACCACCTCTGTCTGGCCCCAGAGTCGGGCGGGAATGGAGATTTTGCAGTATCATTCCCCTGCCACGGCCACAGAACCGGTAGTAAAATAAATTTAATTTCACTACTGATTTAAACAAGTTCAACTCCCTGCTCAGCAAAGAAACTCATTGGATGACCTTAGGCCATCACTGTCTCCCAATACAACTAATTATAATCAGAGAATTGTGAAAATAAAACATGGGGACAGAAAGCCATGTATAAACACCTCCTGAACAAGAAAGATACAATTCATTACAAATATTTCTTCATTCATTTATAAATCAAGGTAATATTTTGCTTAGCAGCACCTTGTCCACAGACTACAAATTCTAGCAAGTGTCTTGCTAGCTCTTCTAGATTATGACTTTAGATGGCCTGAGACTAGGACAGAACCTATTCTTAACACTTAACAGAGTAAAGATTTCTACTACCTCAATCCTGCATTATCAAGCCCTTCATCCTGGCGTGAATTTTATTTCATATTGCCCTTTTCTCTTCTAGACAGGTTTTCTGTGCTTTCTAACTTTATTGTGTGTGTAGTAGCCCCGCCTGCCTTTTCATATAACTCACCAAGGAAAAAGATGCATTATTTCTCAGAAGCCTGGATCTACACATTAGTGTAAGGAAAGAGATCAGGGCTTTGTACACATTAATGTTTCACCCATTGATGAAATCTTATCATCTTTGAGGCTACTCTTTGTATCAAAACATATCTACCAACATCTGACATGGGGGCAACTAAGTGGACCAATTTGGAGATGCAGTCGCAGAGACCATGAATGTTTCTTTGAGGTTCCCTCTTTGCTTTTGTTCTAACCTAGGCGTCCCCAAACCACGAAGCAGATTCCTTGTCCTGACAAAAAAAAACTTTTTATTAAGTTACTGTGAATTCCTCTCATTCATATTCAGTAAAGTCTTTCAAAGGTGAATATACAGTCACAGACTTATCTGACTTGGAGAGCTGCCAGGCTGGTATCTTCAAAACCTGGCAAGGAGCTTCTTGAGAGTCACGTACTAATTAAGCAAACTAATTGTCTCCTGCAAACTCCATTTTCCTTTTGCTCTTCTTTCATTGCCTTTGGGAGGGGCCACTCATCAGCCACCTGTGGCCTTACTCGCAAGTCGACCCCTGTTCTTTAGCTGTTCTCTTCATCTGGCAACTCTGCACATGTGCACACTGGGAACAGGCTCCAGCTGTTC